ATTTTTCAACTGCAACAAAACTCTATAGCATGAGTAACTTCAAATTCCTGGGGTAGATACTGTCTTCCTATTTCTGACCCTAATAATGGCACATCAATTGTCCTTCTAATCCTCTTCAGATGAAGGAATTGGAAACAGAGCCAGACACCAAACAGAACCASTGTGTGGAGACTGAAAATTCTGCACAAGAACAAGAGGTCTCTAAAAGAGCTGGTCTTTCACAAAAGTGTGGACCTTTGTAGAGTTGGATGCACCTTTTGAGACAGTCACTGGAACGTGTGCATCACTCTGTGCAAAGGATTCTCCTCCTCTGCCACTTCCTGTTCTCAACACAGTTTCTAATGTGTGCWCAGACATGAACACACAATTCATAAAATACTTATTAACTACCACTCTTCAGGGTCATGCCAGTTCTCTTCACCTTGATGTCATCATGCACAAATATCACACATTTTCCAAGTCTATTTTTTCCAGAGCAAAGATTTCTCTCATTAAATCAAACCATTTCTGGTATAGGAACAGAGCCTGGCCAATTAAAGGAAGTCCATACATGAACTRGAAGATGCTCCAGTCTGGAGAAATGCATGGCTCCATTGGCTCTAAACAAACCGCATACCAGGTACCATTTCAGGCTTTGTTTCCTGGGGAGGTTATTCAGGGTCTCAATCCTCTTCCTCTGTGTCAGTCCTCTCCTCTTCCTCTGGCTCAGGGAAACTGGAGCTTGCATGTTTGAATCCACCTGGCATGAATTTATTAGAGCAGAAAAGGGTGTGGGATGGAGATGAGGAAAACATAGGTGTGTTCTCAACACCAGCTGACTCACGCAGTTCCCTGTGAAAGGGAACAGAGATATTCCACAAGTCTCTTCAGGCACAGAGGTACTTCTGGAACAGCTAATGGACAGTACAGATGTTTCCACTAATGGTAAGAAAGGGAAAAAGAGCAGCATCCYTCTACTCCCATAATGGATGCACAGTAAGGGCTAAATCTTTTTTCAAGGGTACCAAAACTGCACAGCCARGACCACTCTTAGGAAAAAACTTCATCCTGGCACAGGACCCCAGGGCATTTCTGTACACTCCCACAGTACAGCAGGGAAGACAGGGAGCAAAACTACATAAAGCAAGTACCCAATTCCTATTCCATCTCCTTCCTCTGGGGTAAAAACCAAGGGCAGCACCTCAGTGTTTCTAAAAGTGATTTCTTCCCATAACAAGAGGTTTGCTGGGCATGGGCCTAAACAGTATAGCATTTCTACCATCTTTTTTTAACAAGGTTTTGAAAAGTTAAGAAGATATCAAGGCAACACCAGTTCAATGTCCTCTTTTCTTCCAGAGTACTGTGCCAGAGTTGCCCATTTAAACATTGCTACAGTATGGGAAAAAAATACTGGTTTGAGATATCAAGTGGCCTGCGTGAGAAAAGACGAGAGGACAGAAAATGTGTGAAAGAATCTTCAGACAAAAGAATTATCTGTGTGTCAGACTCAAAAACCTGCAAATAATACATCCCTGGTGTATCTGGAAAGATGGAACACATCCAACACCATGTGAAGGATCTGTGCTAACACAGATTTAGGATTTTTCAAATTAAGGATGGGAGGTTGATCCAGGTCATCTCTTACAAGTAATTCCTCTCACCAATAGCCTTTATTCGTAGTCTTATTAAGACTTACTGTATTGGGGGGAAAACTTGAATTTGTTCCGGTGAGAAAGCAGAACATTTTATTCTGCTCAAATTTAAGACGTGAGGCATCGGAGGGTGCTMCAATAGGAGGATAGAGAGCACAGAAAGAGCAAATTCAAATGAGATGAGAGGCAAACAGCTCCTGTGGCAATGCACACCTAGAATGCACTCAAAGCATGACTTTTCATCACCAATTACCTGCTTCCAAWAGATCTCTTTTTGACTAGCTGCTACCCTGTAGCTGAATGGGGATTTCCCAGCTCAAATCTTTTCCATACATACCTTAAGGTCACACTGCATCTAAACCACTTTCACTAAGATCAGTTCAGCCTTGCCTCTGAGGCTTTAATCTCAAAAACATCGGCATCCTTCCTGGATTAGCACAGCGCAATTGTATCAGCAGGAGCAGTGGTGGAAAGTTMTTGGGGAAKCKTCATTGGAAACAGGGTCTTAGCTTTTAATGCTTAAAACCTCTGCAGAGTTCCTCATTTAGAGGCTCTCCCTCCATCTGGTGAAAGTCATTTTGTAAACATAAAACCGTACTTAAAACGTAATTTCRTTGCTGTTACGTAACCCTACTCGGCCTAGTTGCGTGTCTTTAATCCCTGCAGCTGAGCCAGTTTTATTGTTAAGCCACTAAGGGCTGCACTGCTTACACATCTTGCAGCCACAGGACCACTGACAGAGGCCATCAACTCTCATCTGCTTCCTAAATATAAGACCTCGTATTGCACTTCTGCCATCCTGACAAATATTTCGGGTCCATTCTCAAAAACTTCTAAGGGCAGCCCTACATCCTGTCAAATCAGTTCCTAACACAGGGTGTCACTACTTCAAAGTAGACACTGGCAATTTTTTACCCAGATCTGCCTTGTTATCTTAGCTTATGACTTCTCGCCCTACCCAGTGGACACAAGGGAACATATTGTTCCTTTTCTCAGAGCAGCAGCCTTTTATCTATTTGAAGACTATGCACATCTTCCCTCAGTTTTCTGTCCTCTCAACAGGCTCGGCAGAAGTAGTGTTCAAAGATCCTGATCATTATTGCCACTTTTTTCTCCAAATTATCCGTATTTCTCTGGTGCACAACCTAGGACTAGCCCTGCTGCTCTAACACAGGAGTGTGTTACTTGTATTTTCTTACCCTCATGGACCTGTGGGATTTTTACCTCATCTGCAAAAAGATATTTTTTATTCCTGTTCAGTTTTTGACCCTCAGACATCCCTTCCCTTTCGTGCAGCATAGGCAGCTGCCCTATTCCCCRGGGTGTAAATGTGCAGTTGATGGTGTTGAAGTATACAGCAGTGCACCTGCTGCTCAACCACATCCTATTTTGAATCCTGGTTCTGCCACTGTGTTTATTCTGAACTTGATCTCAGCTTCAGATGCATTAACTGCATTATTTCATCACAGATGAATAATGCACAGGTAATTCCCTGTACAAGCACTGATATTAAGTACTTCTTCCCTCAACSAATTTTGCAATTCCTTTAGAGCAGTATCATCTAGACTGGTTTCCCAGTTTATTATTAGAATATCCTGCAAGCCAGTGTCAGAAACTCTACTAAAAATCAAGATATATGACATACACTGCTTCGCCCTTATCTGCAATCCTTGTTATGCTGCCAGAAGAGGAAATTAGATTGGCTCAATTCATTCCTGACAAAGCCATACTGGCCAGCATTCACCTTTTTTTTTTTTCCTTTGAGATGCTTATAAATTGTTTATTTTCTCTCAGACTCAAAATTAAACTCTCTACTCTATTGCTCCTTAGTATATCTGGAAGTCACTTATCTCTCCCCATTCTCCCWGACTTTTTTGTTCATTGTGGTTGTACTTGAGGTCACAAAATCTCACAAGCTGGAAGGAGCAAAACCATGAGGCCCCAAAGAGGATGCAATTTCTCAAGGGGATTAAGAGCAGGGCAAATTATTGCTACTGCACCTATTTTGATATTCCAGCCTTTAATCACATMATCATGGAATGGTTTGGGATGGAAGAGACCTTCAAGATCATCTAGTTCCAAACCCCTACCATGGGCAGGRACACCTTCCTCTATCCCAGGGTGCTCCAAGCCCCGTCCAACGTGGCCTTGAACACTTCCAGGGATCAGGAAACCACAGCTCCTCTAGGAAACCTGTGCCATGGCCTCACCACCCTCACAGGGAAGAATTTATTTCCAATATCCCATCTAACTTTGCCCTCTTTCAGTGGGAAGCCATTCCCCCTTGTCCTAGCACTCCAAACCCTTGTCCCAAGCCCCTCTCCAGCTCTCTTGGAGMCCCTTCAGGCCCTGGAAGAGGCTCTGATGTCTCCCTGGAGCCTTCTCTTCTCCTGGCTGAACATCCTCAGCTCTCCAGCCTGGCTCCAGGGCAGCACTGTCCCCTCCAGTGGCATCAGGGATGGACAATGTGGCCAGCAGCACCAGGGCAGTGATTGTCCCCCTGTACYTGGCATTGGTGACACCACGCCTTGAGTGCTGTGTTCAGTTTKGGGTCCCTCACTTCAAAATGGACATTGAGGTGCTGGAACTTGTCCAGAGGAAGGCAAAAGGCTCATGAAAGGTCTAGAAAACCTTATGAGGCGTGTCTGAGGGAACTGGGTTTGGTTAATCTCAAGGAGACCCAACATGGATTTATTTTTTCTCACATTTTTGGTATTTTGTCTCCATTTTACCGGTGATCTCTCACTTGCAGTGCATGTTCTGTGAGATATATTTTATCAGACGGGTTTGAGGGTTGCTGGTTGGGACCCCAATCCGGTGTATGTGTCCAGTATTGCGGCACCTCTGTATTTTCGAGTAATTACTGGGAACAATTAACAATCAGACCTTTGTTTTTTTTTCTCCTCGGAGAAACAACCAGCAGGTTGCAATACCTTCCTTTTCCTCCTCTTTTCCTTCCTTGTCCTCGAGACTGACTACAGGATGGGGTGTACTGAGGTGGGGTGAGGTCCAATTTTTTCTACCGTGCATGCAGTGAGAGGATTGGAGGAAATGGCCTTAAGTTGACACACTGGAGATGTTAGAGCAGGTTAAATGTCAACTTTTTTTTTTTTCACTATTTGGGTGGCCAGCCATTAGAACAGCTTGCCCAGGTAGGTGGTAGCCTCACCACCCCTGAAGGCGTTTAAGAGCCGCATGTGGCTCAGGGGCGATGTGGTTCAGGGGTCACAGAGGCGGGGGCACGTTGACTGTCACATTTCTCGATATAAAAAGTCTCTCCGTACCTCGTCAATSCCCTCGCTCCCGGCCGGTCCCGCCCCGCCCTGAGGGGCCGCGCAGGCGCCGCTCCGCCCTTTGTGTGTGGGGCGGTGCTGTGGGCGCAGGCGCGGAGCGCGTTTCCTGCTGCCCGTGTCAGAGCCGGGCCCCTCGGCCTCTCCCGCCGCCGGAGCGGAGTCGCGTTGACTGCCCAGAGTCCGCGAGTCCCGCTCCGCCCCCGCCGCCTCAGGTGAGTCCCGGCCGCGGCAGCGATGGGCGGCGGGAGCCTGCGGGCYCGCCGGCGTGAGGGGAGGGCGTGGGGGAGGCACCGCAGCATCGCTGCCTGGAGGGGCTGGGGACGCCCTGCTGAGGGTGAGGCGATGGGCACCGCTCACCCCTTCGCCCTGAGGGGCCAGGGAGAGGCGGGGCCGGGGAGGTGTCGCCTGTATTCCCCACTGTGCCCCCCATATCCCCCGCCGTGCTCCCCATATCCCCCGCCGTGCCCCCATATCCCCCGCTGTACCCCCTACAGCCCCCACATAGCCCCCGCCGTGCCCGTGTATTGGCAGGGCCGCAGCCCACAATCCTTCCCCATCCCGGTGGCTTTATCCTGCTAACGGTGTCCTGTGTCAGGAGGTGCCCGAGGAGAGTTCATCCCCCTGGGAAATCTGAGCTGAGTGACTTGGGAGGGAGTGACAGTGGTAGGATGATGTCCTGCATCACAGGTGCTTCGTATCCAGGTGTTTGGAAGTTGTGTGGGTGCTCCCAGAATAGGCAAGGATTAAAAAAGATCTYTTTCTTGCTGTCACATGCACATATTCCATCTCCCCTTCTGAGTCCATGTCCTGGCTGGTTGCTTGTCCAGGGATGGGCTTTCACCACATATTTTTTGCTCCATTGAGAGGTGACAGCAGATCACCTGTACATCCCAACCTTGATCCTTTAAGGCCTTGCACTGAAAGAACACCTGCTCTACAAACGTGCAAAATTTCCCACTTTTCCTCCATTTTAAAATATTTTGTTGAAACTCAGAGCCAGTTGGTTTCCATTTGAAATAAAAGGGAGAGCTGTGATAAATTTTTGGTAACAAAGTCGTACCACTATCTTCCCCAAGTGAGATTCTGAGGCTGGACGACAGGAAGGCACTGAGGTTATTAATTTGTCAAGAATCATCAAGCCAATAGCATTTTCCCTAGTGCAATATGAGTTGGATTTTGTCTGTGTATTAGTAAGGAATAAATATAACAAGGAAATTTCATTAAGATTTATTTTCCCAAAGAAAATATCATTGTACCTATCAGGGGACAGAAATAGCTTTTTGAGGTTATCATCACTGTTGTGTTTTATGGGTTTGTAACCAAAGCAAAATGGAAAAAAGTCATTTGTAGCCAGTTCTGGAGCTCGAGTAACCCAATCAGGGGGAAGGATTGGCTCATACAACTTTGGGTTGGTTTTGGGAACAGCTAAGTAAAAATATCTGAACTAGGAGTTAGGCTGGGACCATATTTTATACGTAATGCCAATCTGTGAATAAAATACCAAAGTTGTATCAGAAAGTGTTTCAAAATAGCTGCATTCCTTGGGGAGGGGAGATTGGATATTTTTACATTTTATTTCGGAAAGAGTAGCAAAGGCTGAGGATTCCTTGTTGGTGGAACAGCTCTTGAACTTTTCCTGTATATGGAAATGTGCTGCTACTGAATGTTGGCATGAGCTAAAGCAAGATCCTGGAARAAGCACTTTACCAGTTGTGGTTTGCTTATATTCACACGTGGAATCTCAATTGATGGATGTCCAAGGGCAGGGGTAATCCAGATGATGTCAACATTTTCACGTTAGCAAAAAACAATTCATTACTTTGCTTTGGGCTGTGTGTCTTTAATACTTTGATTAGTAGAATTCAATTATTATAAGAACTGTGCAAACCATGCTGGTTAAAATTGTGAACTGGACTTACAAAAGTTTTATTTGAAGTACATTTGAAATGCGCCCATAATTTGCATATTTTTACAATAACAGTGCTTGATTTCCTTAAAATAAATAAAACTAAATAAAAGTCTCTCCAGTKACTTGCATTGGTGAAATACTGTCTCACCTCTGCTCCAAGATTCAGCACTTCCAAGATATTTGCTAAGCTGGTGGTGTGATAGTAATTCCTGAGGCTCCRTAAGAGCACACTCATCAGTCTTTCACTCCTGAGTTTCTGTTGGACTGCCATTCATTTCCTGTTTGCTTCTAAATTCCTACCTTGTCCTGAAGTCTCCACCCTCTGCTAACATGGCCATACTTGGGTATGTTGTAATTCCAGGCTATAATGGGTGTGGATGTCTTGGAATGACATCACAGAGATACTTCTTTTAAGATGTACATGGGGGAGTAAAAATGCTCTGATCCATCAGGCAATAGTAAATTGGTGTGAAAATTAGTGGAATATACAAAARGAATTGACAAATATGAGTTGGATATATTGAACTGTGCATGTTTTTGTTGTTACAGGTGACCTTGAGTTTTTATGATGTTATCTTCCATCCATTTTTGCTGCTCTGGTTAATACAAGACAAAGAATGCTAYATTTTAATGCYTAAAATATTTTAATTTCTAAAATATACTATTCTRTGTYCTGCATTAACCRAGGGCAGCATARATGRATGGAAGAWAATATAATAAAAACATTTKAAACAACTTTGTGACTGTGGATGGATGTGCCTCCCARTTGCAGATGTTCAGCATTGTCTCTTTTAACAACTATAAGTTAAAAGAAAATGTAGGTATTTAGCCTTTTTAAAACAAAACACTCACAAACTACAGTGATTCAGCTTGCCCTTTTAGTGTTTTAGTCTCATGGGGCAAAAGCCTGATTATCAAGCAGTTCAGCGCTAGAGTTAATTTGAAGAAATTACTAATTAGTTGATTACTAATCTTAGTAATTTTTCCCTAGGATAGATATAAATGGTTTTRTCAAATAATATATCAGCAGATCACAGTTACACATCAGTTTGGCCTCTTGAAAGGAGATTTTGTTGTRGTGCTGCCTGTGAGCCTGGGTACGTGCCAGGATTTTGAACCAGTTCATTGAGCTTTGTCCTAGATCCTTATTTTTTAAATTGTTCTATTTCCATAGTAAAATTAATAGGTTTATTAGATTTCTTGAGGACCTCCTCTCTTGTCTGTGAGTATACAGTAAGCAGGACAATGAAAATCCATCATCCTACTGAAAATATCTGGGGGTGTGACACAGGCAGCTCTTGAGCAGCCTTTATATATTTACTGAGGAAATTGTGATCTGTAAATAAATTGTAACACTGCACTGAAACATGCTTGGTAAATGTTGAAGGTTAACTTTGTGTTATTAATTCTATTATTTTGAAGTGTTTGGTTTTCAATTTTACACCTTTCAGCCTTTTCACTTTTTACAACATAGGAATCTCTCTAACTCGGAATGTCTCTACATCAGTTCCTACTGGAGCCAATCACCTGCCATGCCTGGAACAGAGACCGTACTCGTAAGTAATGAGTTCATTTTTAATTTTTTTTTTTGATTGCAATTTTCTTTCCGCTGTCAGTTATTGATCTTGTGATATTCTGGCTCACATTTAGGGGAAATATGGTCAGACACATAATTCTACCTGTTAGATGTTCCACTTGTGATCCTAAAAGCATGTGTCTTCCAAATCTGAGCTTTTCTAAACCCATTGCTGGAACTCTGGCATAGGTGGTAATTGAGGYTTCCTGGTGTTCCACAAACCTTTGCCTCTTGGACCAGTTTTCTATATAATGTGGATTGTTGTGCTCCAACATGTTGTCTTCCTGTGCAGAGTACTCATGACCAAGGTATGTGTACCACACTGCCAGAGAGCAGCGTCAGATGGGATTTTGGGAAAAAATTCTTCCCTATGAGGGTGGGGAGGCCCTGGCACAGGGTGCTCAGAGAAGCTGTGGCTGCCCCATCCCTGGGAGTGTCCAAGGCCAGGTTGGATGGAGCTTGGAGCAACCTGGGATAATGGAAGGTGTCCCTGCCCATGGCAGGAGTTGGAACTGGATGTTCTTTAAGGTCCCTTCCATCCCAAAATATTCTGGGATTCTGTGTCCATAATTATTGGAGATTTTCCAGGGATTTTGGCTCTTTGTTTACAAACCCCATATAATGCTCTCAAATTTGAGAAYAGGGGGTTTTGATGGGGAAGGTCTTTCCAAATATATAATTTGGTATTAAAAAGCCTKCTGTACAATTGGATTGTTTTATTTCTTCATTCAAGAGATTGCCATTAGCCCTAATAACCATGAAGTGCACATCTACAAGAAGAGTGGGAACCAGTGGGTGAAGGCTCACGAGCTGAAGGAACACAATGGACACATTACAGGTGAGTTTGTGCTAAGCCAGAAGTTTTCCATCCCCCCAGTTTTCTGCAGTTGAGATTCTGAACAAGAAATCTGCAAGTGTTGAGTAAATAAATCCTTTTATAGGTTGGCATTCCCACTTAGCGAGAGCCTTGCAGCAGTTTTCTGGACTGCATGCAGTGAACGTTAGCAAGAAAAGCCCTATCTCATTTCCAGACATTTCAGTGGAGCTGCTGAGCCATTTTTTCTTATCTATGGCTTATTTTTCATCCATAATGACATAATGAGAACACATTTTCAGTCTACTGAAGTAATCTGGTTGTGTCACAGTGATACATGCTGCTCCCTTTCAAGTGTTAGTACTAAAATTTCAACAAGTATACGACAAGAGATGGTTTGTGGTTTCTAGCAGCAATAAATACCATTTCTTAGGGACTGTATAAACATTTGAAGTGGTCAGTACTGGACTTAGACCATCAGTGAGCACATTTATTGCGGGCCCAGACTATCTGTAGATCCACATGAAAATTAAGAGCTGCCATGGTGAGTCACAAGGTGTTATTTWAAAAAAACGTGATTATCCTGTGGCAGTCTTTTATATTACTGAGGTTTTTATTCATGGTGATATTTTTAAAGGGGCTTTATTCTCTGAGGAAATGAAAATAATTAATATAAGCACTTGCACAAAGCAGCAARTTCTGTTCTCAGCTCACTAAAGGGCAGAAGTATCTGCCAAACAGCATTTTGCAGGAACTTTATTCAGTTTTTTCAATTCTTGCTGTCCAAGAGCCCAATTRTTGCTGCTCCTTTGTGAAGAATCACTTGGGCTGCATTTACAAATGAAATGTGTCCCCCCCAGACATTTTACTTGTACCTGTTAGTGTTAGAAGCCAAATATTCATGACTTGGGAAAAGAACTCTCCCTGCTTTCCTGTGCAGTGTGTACCTTTGGAATACAAAATGTTGTGGTGGTTGTAAAGAGTGGAGTTAAGCTGTGGTTACACACAGGAGATCCACTGATCAAACTGCTTGTAACCCCTGACAGGAGTGAGTCAGCTGCTGCCACTCCAGCCCCTGATCACAGGGGACAAGGTCCTTCTCTTGACTCAGGTTTGTGGTGAGCTGCCTCTGCTCCCTTACAGGAAGAGCTTTATTCACTCTCTGGGCTKAGATTTCTGCTAAGATAAAAATCTGAACTTGGCATAGATCAGAGYAGTGGTTGGTAAGAGAAGGAAAGAGAGGCAGAATGGCCCCTCTTTCGAAGGCAGTGCTACAACTCCTCTAACTGTGCTTTCAGACTACCAAGCTCTTCACTGTTTAAGTATAAACCTATTTTAAAGTAAACAATATAAGAATAATATGGTAACATTTGTACAAATTCCTTCCATAGCTTTTATCCCGTTTTCAGTTCATGAGATTAAGAGATGTTTTTAATACTGAATGTAGTAATGGAAAACCACTGACAAATAGTTTGTGGCAGGAGAGTTGAGGATTGTCTTCTGCATCCCAAAGGATGYTAGAGAAAAGATGAAAAATAATATTCCCGTAAGACTTTCCAATTGGGAACATCCTTCATTGCCAAGGAGGAGAAAGAAGCAATGGCAGCCTTATCAAAGATTTTATTTTATTATTTGAATTTGGTTTTGCTCAGTAAATCTTTCATGTAGCACAGCTTAAATAGGCATGGAAAAAATGAAAGGATTCTGTCAGTACATAAAGATTGATAATGTCTAGCCAAAAAAAAAMCCCTATTGTCTAAACTTCAGATCATGGTTACAGTCTGGCAGCAAGCACACAACGTTGTTAGAGGTTTTGCAGTTTTAGAAGTGCTGCGTTTCAGCTGTTGAGAGCGGTCTTGCTGAAGTCAGAGGTTGGGAGGTGCTGGTGGACAGGCCTTGGCCAGTCTGCAGAGCTCCACCTGTTGGCCAGCCCTCGGAGCTTCCTCAGCCGGCAAATCCCTGCGATCTGTGAGTTTGGGATCTGCAGTTTTGATGAAAGCTAGCGGGAGAAACAGATATCCCTAACAGCTTGAAATGGCTCCTGGAGAATAAGAGACAGTAAGAGAATAACATAACAGTAGTAACTCTCAGTGATCAGTTCATCAGGAGCTCAGTGTCAGGACAAGGAGGAATACTTTCAGACTGAAAGGGGAAATKTAGGCTAGATATATGGAACAGTTCTTCCCTGTGAGGGTGAAGAGGCCCTGGCTCAGTTGCTCAGAGAAGCTGTGGCTGCCCCATCCCTGGAAGTGTCCAAGGCCAGGTTGGACAGGACTTGGAACAACCTAGGATAGTGAACAGGAGTTGGCACGGAGTTGGAACTGGATGATCTTTAAGGTCCTTTCCATCCCAAACCACTCTGGATTCTGTAACAGAAGGCTGTGAGGTGGTCTCTGTTTTGCCTTAATGTAAAGCAAACAGCATAAAGAGAAGATTCATTCCTGTGAACTCTTCACTCCCAGGTATTGACTGGGCTCCCAAAAGTGACCGCATCGTGACGTGCGGCGCTGACCGCAACGCCTACGTGTGGAGCCAGAAGGATGGCGTGTGGAAACCCACCCTCGTCATCCTGAGAATCAACCGTGCTGCCACCTTTGTCAAGTGGTCTCCCTTGGAGAACAAATTTGCTGTGGGAAGTGGAGCTCGACTCATATCTGTGTGCTACTTTGAGTCTGAAAATGACTGGTGAGCTGTTTTTATATCTATAAGGTCTGCACGGGAAAGCTGAGCCTGGTGKTTAATGCAAGTAACAGGTTTACTATTTTACTGATTCCTCAAATARTAAGGGAATGTAGAGGGATGGCCTCATCCTCAGTTCTTTTGTGGACTTGTACATTTTGGGAAAAAGGTTCCCTCTGTTATTCACTCTGGTGTAGTACCAAAAGGCCTTTGACTTTGCATATTTTCAGGCAATACAAGTTGGCGTGGATGTGTTCTGCCTGACTACCATAAACATATGTTGCTTTTCTAAAAGTGCAAGAATTTCTGCAAAGTAAAAATTTTTTTGCTACAACTGTATGGTTAAAAAAAGATAAATACTTCCTTCCCTCACCTCATGCCAGAATGAATGAAGAAATCCTCACTTGAGTGTCCCATATCTATTATTTTGGGCCATTTCTTGTCATTAGAGGTTTGAGTCTGTCACATCTCCAGGGTGATCTGTTTGAAGKTGTTTGAGCTTGCCATCAACCTGTTCTACATTTTGTCATATATTTTCATCACAGTTTATAGATTTCATGCAGGAATATCACAAAAATATTTCCACCATTAAGATTTTTCTYGCTTTGGCATCTAAACTTAATGTTTCTGATCTTCTCCCTTTGTAGCTGCACATGTTAAAGCTACATTTGCTGTATCGTCTGTAGGTGAAATCAGTATCTTGCTTATAAACAGGCACAAAAACACAGGTGTTCTGTGTGCAGTCTGCCATGTGGAGATGAAAAAAAATAGACACCATCTGCAAAATACATTTTAAATATTGCTTTGGACTTTTATGTTTTCCAGCATATTCATTTATCAATATTTTCTCTGCCTCACTTGTCTGCAAAAGAATCAAAACCCCACATGCTAAAGAAGTATAATTTTAAAAATCTGATCCTTAAAACTTGTGCTTGATGGAAGTAAAATCAAAGAAAAAGCACCATCMCGCCAAAGGCCATCAAGTGAATAATAGATTTCATTACTATTTTGTAAATAGTTCAGATAAACTAAATCTGCTGAGACATATTTAGGCCATTATTGATGCATTTAGCAGCAGGACCACTTTGCACTGCACTGCAGATAATTGAGATGAATGCACTGGTTGGATCATTGGCAGTCCCTCCATTTTCTTGTTGTGTTTTATAGTTACTGTATTATTAAACAGTAGAAAAGTCAATAGGCAAGAAATGTGACTATAAAACTCGTTGGAAGGAGCTGGAGAAGGATTTGTACTTGGTGATCCATGAAAATAATGCTGCTTAACTTAGTGTCACTGTCACAGCTGACCTTGTGTTCTCTGGGGGGAAGAGACCAGCAATTCCTGTGCAAAATTCACCTCAAAAGTTTTATCTGATACATTATGAAAATTAGTTTGAAGGAGAATATGACTTAGGTGAGGAAATAGATGTTTAATGAGTTTGTTAAAGAATATTTAAAAGTTTAATTAAGCTAACCATAAAGTTCAAGGTTCAAGTTCAGGATTGCACAAGGGAATGTGTAAGATTTGGACAGGAAGTTTTTTCCAAAACTGATGTGTTTAGTCAAGGAGTAATCTTTCGGAGGAAGATTTGTGGGAATCGGGTAAAATATGTCCATAATGAACTTTATATCTTTCTTTGGTTTGTTTCAATTTTAGGTGGGTGAGCAAGCACATTAAAAAGCCCATTCGTTCCACTGTCCTCAGCCTGGACTGGCACCCCAACAAYGTCCTGCTGGCTGCAGGATCCTGTGACTTCAAGTGCAGGTGAGAGAAACTAAAACATCTGTCTACAATTTGGCTTACTGGATCAAATCAGGAGCCTGTGCATTTTGATCAGGCATTTGCAGTTAYTATTAGTATAAAAGATGGCTCACTGTGTACTGTTGTTGGTACCAAAAAAATTGATATCTAGCTTGAGAAATGTTTGCTTTGGTTCTGTTGTGTCCTGACTTTGGACTGCCAACATGGATCTGCTGAGTGACACAATTGAATTTAGGGAATCAGTGGGTTCCTTCCCAGCAGTAAACAKCAGTGTGCACTGAGGCTGAGAGCTGGTCCTTAGGCTGAAGTTAGATTAGCAGGTGTCAGCTTGTAGAACACCAGCACTCCTAGTTAGAGTTTAAAAAGCAATATTCTAATGGTGAAGTTCCAAAATTCAGAATAACTTGCCACTTCCAAAGGTGTTATCCCATCTTTTTGTTCCCTGAAYTCCTTGTTTCCTCACCTTTGCCTGTGCTGGCCTTAAAGTTTTCACACTCCTGTGGGGAGCAGTGTTAAGGAGTTGATCTGCTGCAACTCAACACAATAAAAGAGATTTTTTGAACATAATTAAAAAAATAAAGGCTGATAAAAGGCAGATTTGCATTGGAGATGGATGGGAGAGACTTTCAAAGTAATTGTGAAATTACAGTGTGAGGGATGGGTCCTGCAAACTGCTCTGTGCTGAGTGATTGGGGTCACTGCAGGGAAGTCTGCATGGGGAGCCTGCAGGACCTGATTTGAATTCACACTGACTTAATCACTTTTACCTTGAATGATAATGAAAGCTTCTTTTCTTAAATTCTTTATGTAATAGGGTAATTTTTAAGCTTCAAAGTGTGTACTAAAAATTACTAAGGAGGAGTGGGAGTGGGAGGTGGGACTGACTATTACAGTCCTTATTTAAGAATGAAACCCTTGCATCTAAACCCCATCCTYTGACACCTTTTTATGTAAGGAAAGATATTAAATGGAAGCTGGGAAGGAGGGGGAAGAGTTGTCTCCTTTTTCTGMCTTATTTTCAGTTTTAATTAAATAAACTGTATGTATTCACTTCCTTTCACAAAAAAACATGATGTGAAACATGCTCACTCAGCTTACAGAAGCAGCTACTTTTCACWTGTGGATTTTTTTTAATGTGTGCTCATAAAGGACATCAGGATTTTGACATTAGGTCACATGAAATATATGTGTTTGTGTATATTCATACATGTATGTGTATGTGTGTGTGTATATATATTATTTTGGACTTGTTTTTTTTGTGTGCTTATATACAGTGCATCCCTGGTTTTCTCCTCTTTCCTGTTTGATTGAACAGTTAGATTCACATTTCTTTTCTGTTTGTTGTGACTTGTAAAAATTTTTTGTGTTTTTCTGGAAGAAACTCAAGGTGTGGTTCAATTTCCTAGGAAGATTCTCTAGAAGACTTACTTAGTCTTTTGTTTACCATCAAAAAACTCATTCTGTCCTGCATATTATTTCTCTTTTAAAAAGAACACAGATCTTGGTATAAAACATTTGGTAAAATTCCTGCTCTTCCTTAATATTGTACTTCAGGATGATTAATTTAATATTTTTTCTGCTTTTATCATAGAATCTCCATATAGGTGCATTTAAAAAAGGAAAAGTAGTGGAGGTGGTACTGGATTTAGRTTTCTGTGTGATGGGTAGTGGCARCAGAGAAGCTGTGGCTGCCCCATCCYTAGAAGTGTCCCAGGCCAGGCTGGACAGGGCTTGGAGCAAYCTGGGATAGGGAAGGTCTTTMAAGTCCCTTCCAACCCAAACCATTCTGGGATTCTAGGATTCCATTGTTTCCCCAAAATCATGAAAAACTATTATCKTTCGTAAATGAGAGTACAGATCTCTAGAATTCCAGGTCTAGSCAATATTGAGTTACATATTAAAAATAATAGTTACCTGAAGTGTGTAGCTGTTCTGAT